AAGCACTGCAGCACATACTTATCCTATTGATGTGAAAGTTTAGAACTACCTTTTGATCCCCTGGACGGGAACCATAAGCCAATCGGCTGCATTAGCACAAATATGGCGTAAGGGTCTTCCCGTGTATTATGATGTGCATAACTCTTTTGAGAGAATTAACTAAAATAAAAATTACCAAGATCCTCGATATTTGGAATAGTGGCAGAGACAGCTAGGAAGCGGACTTGTGCAAGAGGATTTGATTTCATTTTAGGATTGCAAGCAACCATTTTTATTCTGCTAACGATGGCTTCCAGAGCAGCTCCTCGTGGATCATTCAACAAATGAACTTCATCAATAAGTAGTAGTGCAATGTCACTGAAAAAGCTCAAGCCGCCATCTTTTACACCATAACGTGATACTGCATCGAATTTCTATCCATAGGGGAAAAAAAAGGATATAGTTTAACCATCTCCATTAATAGCAATAAACCAACCCACTGCTTGTGCATTCGTGTTTGTGTATCTGGAGGTACCCCAGTCAAAAATGGTGCATAGGCAAGAAGAGAATCGCATAAGCTTTGAGCCAATGAGAAAATGATTTATCTCACAAAAAAGTCATCCCCGCGAAGGTTAACTCTTTATTTAAACATTCAAATCTCTTAGAAGGTTAATTTAAAGTAATTCATTGGTACTTTCTTCCGATCGTGTTGAGAATAGGTGCCTTTAACTTCATAACTCAAGATGATATTCTTTTGATATGACATGGAAAAAGTGAGTCAAAGATGAAGTTTCTTGTACGATTATTTTAACATAGCTTGCGTTTGCATACTGACCTCGGGAGTTGTCAGAATAATATCCGCCTCTTGTATGTTCCTTAAATTGTAAGATTCATTGTCACCGGTCAGCTCCAGGCACTTGATTCCCAAGTGCCCAAGCTTTTGATTCCAATGCCGAAGCTTCTCTTGTACTAAAGCCTTAGAAGGGGCTATATAGATCTGGACGCCATGTTTGAAAATCATAATAGCAGTAGTTAGCTACTAATACTACACGTAGATCAACATATTCGTCAAGGAAATATTTATTTGATCTAAAAAGTTGACTCAAGGAGAATCAAAACAAATCTCTGTAGTTTCTGAGCGTGGAGTTAAAATGTACACTTTTTAAAAGGAGTGATGAGAGAAATGTAGGGCAGCTGGTGCCACTGGATAAAGGACTTACTGTTTTGAGAGTTCCATTTACATGTATAAATCTCTCCTCGGAAGAAATGGACCTAGAGAGAAGCCTCAAAATGCAAAGCTCAAAGAGTACCGTTTTACCACTTCCAGTTGGAGCAGAAATTACCATATTTATATCGGAGTGGAAACAGATAGGAAAGCATTCACTCTGAAGCGAATTAAAATACCTGCACGTACAAACTCATCGGCTGATTAAGAAAGCTAATCATTTAAAAGCATTTATGTATAGATGCAGATTATTTTCTGCGCGTACAACATTAGGCATTAGAGGTTTTATGTTGTACATGCCAATTTAAAATTGTACGTTATATCAGAGATAAGTGATGAAAGATAATCCTCCTTGTCGAAAAACTAGATGTGATAGATGAATAAAAAAGTCGATAGAAACTTATGCTCAATGTAACTTTAAGAATAGTTAACTTCGTTCCATGTTTTAACTTGATAGATGGTCCCAAGGAAAATATAGTACCTGAAACTAAAAGTTGAGCGAAAAGGTACGGGTAAATCTGACACAGACTTCAATGAATATGTATCCATAGTCAGAACTACACAAGCAAAAATTAACGAATACATCAATCCTCGAGTACCAACTTCATCGTGACTGAGGTCACCTGATCAAATCTTAGATAAAAAGAATTAACAAATATATCAATTCTCGAGCACCAACTTCATCGTGACTGAGGTCACCTGATCAAATCTTAGATAAAAAGAAACTTCACAACAGAACATTATCTCATCACATGCAGAGGAATGAAACTGTCTCCAGTCATGGTCATTGCAGATAAGAAGCGGTGATGACTCTAGTATTTTGACCAAATAATGAGGATGAGACATTGTAGACGAAAGTTAAAAAACAGAGAGAGGAAGAGGAGGAAGCCAGATCAATTATGAAACTATAGAATCAGGTCATCGACAAAATCCAAGAAGCTCCACGGTAAAGCAAGGGAGATTAATCAAACAGTTTCAAGGCCAAATTAAAATGAAAATTCAAAAGAAAGCAAGAAACGGTGCGACGGCGTCCGACACGGTTGAAAACCACGCAGGGATTCAAAGCCAGATTGTACAAATCAATCTTACCGGATTTTAGTCGAAGACAAAGCCCAAGGGTTCGGACCTTCCGGAGAACAACCACGCAGGGCTGACAATGGTGGAGGGCGTCGAACGGCGAGCTTGGCCAGGCGTGGAATGCTCGTTCGTCGACGACAGAAAATGTGCGGGAAATCCTTCTTCCACTGTGCTGTGCTGATTTCAGTTTTATACCGTTATACGACCCCCCTTTGGTCATTAAAACAGGGCGGGCAATCCTTCTACCACTGCGCTGTACTGATCAGGCCATCAAACTTGCTGTATATTTTGTTTTTTCAAATTTTAAATTATAAGTTTTGGTTTTTTAAATTTTTTTCTATTTAAAATAATAGTCTTTATAATCTAATAAAAATTTGAACCATTTATGCTTTTTGAATGACCAAAACCTATTATTTGAAATTTGAAAGATCACAATCAAAATGAGAATAATTTGAAGAATCAAAGATTATATTAACCTAAAAACATATGATAATACTTGCAATTGTAAATGTTATAATGTAGGTTATGATTAAAAAAATATAATATATATATATATACACACACTTGGCAAAAATATATAAGGTCCCAACCATAGTAAGTGAGATGCTATACTACTCAACTCCAACATAATTACTTGAGTATAGTTGGTCCTTTTAGGTACTTAAATATTTTCTAACTATTCCGATCTATTTACGGTTATTGCTTCTATGAAAGAGTGGCGGTTGAATGAGGCGTTATTTTTTTAAAATAGAAACGACTTCTTAAAATATTTATATTTAATTAGAGGTTGTGGATGCTCTACTTTGAAAGAGATATCTATATAGTATTACCTCCAATCCTAATTATAAGAGCTAGTTAATAATTTGAGGAGATTAAAGAAATAAGTTAAGTTAGTTATTTGTAATAAATAAGTTTGTCTTTTTCAAAATATCCTTGTTAACTAAATTTATTGGCTAGAACTACTATTATTAGAGGGATTATCCTAAGAAAAATGCATACATATGAGAGACAAAATAAATTGAGATATTATAATTAGGATTAAAATAAAAATCGAACGAAATTTTATATTAAAAATCGGAAGTAGTATATACGCACATGATACTGTATAATAGTGGATAATACTCGTCTTCTTATTATTATAATTATGAATTATAAATAACTAATTCATGAATAATTAATAATTAATTAAAATTAGTTAAAAGTAATAAATAAATTAGAAATACAGTTTTGCTTTTAAACATACTCTTATAATAAATAAATAAAAAGAATATATCAAAAAAATATGATAAGAGAGTATGACAAAGAAAAGAGAATAAATAATTAATAATAAAATTAGAGAAAATGTATTAAATATCTAGACAAATTTCAAATTGAAATTTATAAAATATAGACTACACTCTCTCCAAATTTAAAACTTATAAACAACACTGATGGTTAAGTATGCATGCTCACTTTTCATCCCTCTATTTCGCTTCCAATTTAATTTCAATAGTAAAATATAACTTGTGTTTGAGTTTTTAAAATGCGAACCAAAAAAGTCTCACAAATGTTGATTTTTTTTAATCTCAGATTTTTTTGACATTTATAAATTATCGTCCATTAGCACACGTTTATTTAATTAGATTTGATGCTGTAAATCTATACCTATGAATACGGCGTATTTTATCTGTACTGGGACTATAGAAATACAACAGAACCTCATTCTATGCTTCCTATAGTGATCCAAAAAGAATGAGCAAGAATGTAACTTGAAACTAAATGACTGGTAACAAAATTTACTTGGCTAATATTACTATAATTTTTCCTTTTTTAAGTTTACTTTTATTTTGATTTTGATCTATCAAACTGCAAACAACATGTTTTGATTCTTCAATAAGCAAAATAATCTAAATTTTCATTACCTTATAACTATAAGGACTAATTTTTTAAATGAAAAAAATCCAGAAATCAAAACTTATGATTTAAAATTTAAAGAATCAAAGTGAAAATAAGAATAAATTCAAAAGATGAAAATTGTATTAATATTTTCATATTAAACATATCAGACTTGGCCACGTCGCCCTCTCATAACAACCCGCTGCTTTGAGTCCCAGCTTTCCTCGAACAGACCCTTCTCCATCGTCCCCACGATCCCTTTCCTTCTCGCTCCTGGTTTCCTGCCTGCAGTAATTATTAAATGGTTTTGAATTTTTTTTCCTCCCTATAATCGTCTCGCTGCTAATGACTAAATTCCTCCAGGAAAATTTTCAATAAAAAGGGGAAAAGAAAAAGGAAAGAAAACGATCAAACAAGCCAAAAACACCATACGGAGGTCAAACAAAAACAATTAGGTCTGCATTTTTAAAATAAGAAATATTTAGATATTATATTAAATATAATACTTAATCTAATTTGTCTTTAATATTTATTCATTTTGCTTCTAAATAATAGCTATGGCAATTGCATACATTAAAAATTTTATGAAAAAATAATTTCGGCACGTGATTGATAACGATAATAGAGAAAATAATATCTATTCATTATAAATAACTAATTTAATTTATTTTTTAAATATTTATAAATTAATTATCTATTTTTATATTAAAAAAAGGATTTTTTTGTTTTTTGTTTTTGATATCGCAGGAGGTAAGAAGAAGCTGACTAGTCCACTGGGGGAGACTGCGGAAATTAAACGCAGTCACGGTCTCCTCCGAACCCGTAAGGGCCTGAGTCCATTGTAGAAGCAGCCCAAGAAATTTCTGGGGTGCCTAATCCCTATGGTTGTAGTCAGTAAAGACTCTAAACAATCTCCGAAGAAGAAAATTTTCCCTGGCAGATGGAGGAGGCCTCAGCTTCATCGCTCTGCAATGACGTTCCAAATCTTTTATCATTTTTCATCGATACTTTCGTTGACTTCTCAGTCAGCGGCCTCTTCCTCTTACCCCCGCCGTCGCCGCCGGTAGAAAATCCTAACTTCGCTTCCGTGAGTGAGCCTTCTTCCCCTCTTTCACGCTTTGTCCCTGCCTTGCAGACCCGCCTACCCTCACCAGACCGTCTAATTGCCATTGGCGATCTCCATGGCGATCTTGAGAAATCCAAACAGGCTTTCCGACTTGCCAAGCTTATAGATGAGTCCGATCGTTGGATTGGAGGGTCCACCACCGTGGTCCAGGTCGGGGATGTGCTCGACCGGGGAGGCGAAGAGCTCAAGATCCTCTACTTGCTCGAGAAATTAAAGCGCCAGGCAGCGAGAAGTGGTGGCACCATCATCACCATGAACGGGAACCACGAGATTATGAACGTGGAGGGCGATTTCAGGTACGTCACCCGGCCTGCTTTGGATGAATTTAAGGTGTGGGCGGATTGGTTTTGTTTAGGGAACAAGATGAAGAGTCTTTGTCGAGGGTTGGAGAAGCCCAAAGATCCTTTTGAAGGGATTCCCTCTGCTTTTCGCGGTGTGAAGGAAGAGTTCTTCGACGGTTTTAAAGCCAGGATTGCTGCATTGCGGCCTAACGGTCCAATTTCGAGCCGATTTTTGTCACAGAATGTGACTGTATTGGTTGTTGGAGATTCGATTTTCGTTCATGGGGGCTTATTGCCCCAACATGTTACTCATGGATTGGAGCGGATAAACGAAGAGGTGAGGGATTGGATTAACGGGTTGTCAGGGAGACGCTCACCTGCTTATTGCCGGGGGAGGGAAGGTTTGGTTTGGTCGAGGAAATTTTCAAATGAATCGGCACAAAATTGCGATTGTTCCGCTCTTGAGCATGTTCTTTCCACCATTCCCGGTGCGAAGAGGATGATCATGGGCCACACAATCCAAGATGTTGGAATTAATGGTGTTTGTGATAACCGAGCTATTCGGATTGATGTGGGCATGTCAAAGGGTTGTATAAATGGTTTGCCTGAAGTGTTGGAGATAGAAGGGAAAAGGTCAGGATTGCGGATATTGACATCAAATCCTTTGCATCAGAACAACAATTCTTCTAGCGTTGGTATGGAGAAAGATGAAGGTCTTGGGTTGTTGGTTCCAGAAAATCAACCAAAGCAAGTGGAAGTTAAGGCTTAATTAGCATATAATTTTAATTGATTTTTCTCAGCTTTGACTTGAAGATGGGTTGCAGATTTCAAAATTTATCATATCTGCAGTCCAAAGGCTTCGGGAAAAATGGGAAATATCAAGGAAGGAGGAGAAATAGCATAACACGAATTTAGTACGTGTGCCTGCAATGATAACTTAGAGACCTCCCAAATAATACTGCATTGCTACCTCAGGAGTTTTACTCTGAAGGTGTTCTTTGCTTCCATGCTTCAATCCCGTTGAACATTGTTTCAGTGGATAAAGGCTTATGGCTATTGGTGTATAATTTTTTGTATCAATAAGGTGACGGATTAGATTTCCTGTCAACTCTGTCATAGTTAGTAGAAAGAATTAGTTGTTTCTGAAGATAGAGCATGCAGATTTAGTTTCAGTTTTTCCCCCAGTATTGATCTTCTAATTTATCATGGTTTGACCTGATGTCACAACAGTGATTTCAAGCATTAACCTTCTTTTGAAGACAAGTTATACAGCAAATAAATGTAAATGGTTATAGTCCATGCAATCCTGATCACATGATATGAGCATTATTGATGTTGCATATCTGAAAAGCTTCATTGGCTTCATTGACAGTGGCATTTGAACAAAAAAATGTCATCCATCAAATAATGGATGTACTTCCAAAAAGCATGGTAATTCCGTATGGAAAGGATCAACTCTCCTAATTCATGACGTGTTGTGACAAAGAATGCTTGATAGGGTTAACATATATTCTCAAAATTACAAGATTTTGAAACTCGTAAAACAAAATCTAGGCACCTCTTCCTTCAGTTTAATTGTTGGAGTCTAGACAATTTTAGATTATGTCGATTGTGTACACGAATAATTTTGATGACTGATGTTTTTAGGTAATTTTCCATGAATGTAGATTCATTAGACTAGTTTCATTTTGGGGAGAAAAAGATACGAATTTTTAAGGTTCCTACAAGTGGATCCAATTCAAAGACCCTTTTTTTTTTGGCCAAAAATTCAAAGATTTGAATGACTCGAAGGGGAAACTAATTAAATACTACTTAGATATGTTAAGATCAGACTATTCACACTTTTTAAAAATTAAAAATATTAGTTAGAAAATAAAATAAATATGTTTTATTTTGAAGAAATTTGTAATTTCGAAGTCTGTGAATAAATATGTTAAATTTATATTCATCAATTATAATGGTTTCATAAGTCTCCTCGACTACCCCCCTTTCCCACGGAAAAACAGAAAAATACAAAGGCCTCTGAAATCTCAATCACTTGACAGCTTGCTTAATTTTCACCTCGTCTTGTAAGGTAGTGACAGTGGCTATTTAATATTTATCTTAGTGGTGAAGAAATTAATGTGAAATATTGACTTCATATGTCTGTACTAGGAAATCGACCCCTTCTTCGTGAGGATATGAGTTCTGTGGAGGCAAATTTTTAGCTTTTGAGGGAAGAAAATATATTAAGTTTAGAACGTACGAATGCGGTAGGAGGAGGTCTTTTCATCTCCATACGTTGAAGTCGACACATGCGATATTTTATATGGAGAAATAAAAACGAAAGGGTTTTGTTCTGGGAAATTAGAACACAAAACATTCTACGTAAAATTCAACTTGCCTATTTTACCCCTCTCGATATTTATTGCTCGTTCAGCAATACCCAAGAAATGCCGTTAATCAATAGTTAGACATGACCCCATGTTGGTCATTGGCAGAGCAATATATGCAAACTTCTATTCTAATTTATTTACTGTAAGAAGTTAACGTTTGCCATATGGTAATAATTCATCTTCACTATGATAATACAGATATTTAAATTGATTTCGATTTTCAATTATTACGTAGAGTAATTTTGTTTAGCGTGATTTTAATAAGAGAAGACCAAGTGTAACATACTCTTACTTTCTGAAAAAAATTCATCATGGGTGATTTTTTTAAAAAAATTTGCAACATATTAATTTTGATCGCAAAAAAGTTAGAAATGCAAAATATATAATTTTTTTAAAAAATTTAAAAAAAGAGCTGGAGATATCATTGGCCAAGCCCCTGTAATTAAAAAAAATTAAATATGAAGAAGGCAGCACGAGCCATTAGCACATACCACCTATACCGGTTGCCGCCGGATGCAACGAAGCAAAATTCAAAACGCCTCAAATCCCGTCCAGTTATAAGAAATCCAGCTTTCCAGTATTCCATATACTGCCACCCCTCAATTTTCATCTTTCACTCTCACTGGCACTCCATAGTTCGCCGCCATGCAACCTCACTTCTCCCCTACACCTGTGGATGCCCATGACAGAGCCACCGTGTTCCGCCCACTCTCGTTCGCCCCACCTCACATGCTTGCCTTCCATCTTGCATGGCTCAACCTCTTCTCTTGCTTCTTCTCGACCTTCTCCATCCCTCCCCTCCTCCCCGTCATCCGCCACGACCTCCAACTCACCCCCACTGACATCGGCAACGCCGGCATCGCCTCCTTCGTCGGCTCCATTTTCTCCCGCCTCCTCATGGGCCCCACCTGCGACCTCATTGGCCCCCGCATAGCCTCCGGCACTCTCTCCCTCATCACAGCACCTGTCATCCTCGCAACCGCTTTCGTGTCCACACCTCAATCATTCATCATCATTCGCTTCCTTGTGGGGTTTTCTCTCGCCAACTTTGTGTCCAGCCAGTTCTGGATGAGCTCCATGTTCTCCCCCTCCATAGTAGGCCTAGCAAACGGAGTCGCCGCCGGGTGGGCCAACGTGGGTTCGGGTGTGACCCAACTGGTTATGCCTCTCGTATACTCTCTCATCATCAACTTCAACGTACCGTCTTCCATTGCTTGGAGGCTTGCGTTTGTTGTTCCCGCCATTTTCCAAGCAATCACGGCAATACTGGTCTTGGCTTTCGGGCAAGACCTGCCTTCAGGGAGATACGTGCGTACCCAGACGCAGAAGGCTAAAGGAGAGAACGTACTCAAAATATTATTTGACGGCTTGTCTAATTACAGGGGGTGGGTTCTGGCTCTGCTTTATGGGTTCTCTTTCGGGGTGGAACTAACAACGGACAACATAATAGCTCAGTACTTCTATGATAGGTTTAACGTGAATATCGAAGTCGCCGGGAGTATTGCGGCGAGTTTTGGGATGGCGAATTTGTTCTCTCGGCCAATGGGAGGAGTGATTTCTGATGGGATGGGAAGGAAGTATGGCATGAGAGGCAGATTGTGGGGCCTGTGGGTCGTCCAAACGGCGGCCGGACTTCTGTGTGTTTTACTTGGACGCCTCAGCTCTCTCTGGAGTTCTATCCTTGTCATGTGCGCTTTCTCCGTTTTTGTTCAAGCCGCTTCTGGCCTCATATTTGGTGTCGTCCCTTTCGTTTCCACGAGGTTAGCTCATTATCTCACTATTCCTATTTGACCTTCCTGACAAAATCCCAAAAATTTTCGGAAAAGATAAACAAATAATTTTTATAACTCGTTATTCAGCTGAGTCAGTGAAATCCCTTCAAATAGGGATTTTCGTACTTAAATGGAAGAAGGAACACAATTACCTATTGACGATATTAAACAAAAAGAGAAGATGCTCACGGCTTTTCATTTAATAAAAAAATAAAAATTTATCCGTCATATTCTGCAGATCGCTTGGAGTAATTTCAGGGATGACGGGAAGCGGAGGAACTATTGGGGCCGTGGTGACTCAAACGCTGTTGTTTTCAGGGGCCCACTTCTCCAAGCAAACAAGCATATCTCTGATGGGCATTATGATGGTATTGTGCACTCTTCCAGTGACGCTTTTGTATTTCCCTCAATGGGGAGGTATGTTCTGGGGCCCTTCATTAGTTCCCGATTCACCTGAAGAAAGTTGTTGCCTGCTTGATTAGGACGATTCCAATGGGTTCCCGGTGCTCATGCCCATTAGATGCAATTCTGCATAAAGCTGGAGACCGAGAATATGCAATCAGTTTTATATTTCTAGTGGCATAATCTAATAAAATCCATGCAAAAAGCATTCATTTGTACAGTGATAAAGAAGCATTTTATTATACAAACTGCGCAAAATTATGATACGAGATTGCCAAAGAGATATTTCATAAAATTATTCAAAGGATTAATTCCACTCGTGGCATCAGTTGCAGAGATATATCAAACATGCAATGAAAAGTAAGATAAAAAGGAAAAAAAAATACAAAAGGGTCATCGACAAACATTTGCTGCTTTCACAGGTAAAAGGATATTCGGAAGCATGCTAACCGAAGACACTGCAAATTTTAGTTGCTTCTTTTACATGACTGAATGCAAATTCAGATTGCCAATTACCGAACAAAGTTTTATTTTCAAAAGGATGGATACAGCTGTGAAATAATTCTCAGATCTTATTTAATTTTTCCTTCTCTAATATCAGCGTTTGATAACTTGAGGGAGAACGTTAAATCTATCAGAAGCCAGAGAAACGGCTACTTCAGGAAATAACTGCAAGCATCATGCTTCACGCTTCCCAAGAAAACCTATACTTATTTAATTTTAACATAAAATGAGGGATGCTAAATATTAAAAAAAGGATTGAGCAGTTAGTAAAAAGAAATGCAAGCTGTACGGAAAATGATGATTTCTCGGATCAGTAGATTGCATGGGAAGGGAGATTAGAGGACATTTTCAGGGCAACAAGTTCAACAGGTCATCTTCACAATCCAGAAGCCAAAATAAAAAGCTCATCAATGTTAAGCAAAAGGACCAATAAATTTAACTTGGCCGGCTACCTTGTTAAGTCGCTTTCACTAGGATGCTACCAAGTCTATCCCTAACTAAAGAAAACGCCTCCTGAGGCATTATATGCGGCAAAATCCACCAGTTACCAAGAACTCCGACCAAAGTGAAATTCTGATTCCTGACTTCAATATTGGCCAGACAGAGAAGCTTATAGTCCTGAACTTCAACTTTACTGGCGTATAGTGACTGCAATGTAAAGAATCACCAGACATCAAATTAACAAACAGACCGTTCAAATACTTTGAGATGAGTGGAATTCAGAGGGGGGGGGGGGGAAAGAAAAAAGGAAGGAGATTGTATGATCTAAGTTATCCTCATATTTTACTTTGATATACAATATAAACAATACACATTCAAAATGTGATTTATTAACTAAACCAATCACATCGATATACAGATTAGGAAATAGGATTGTATTTTATGACAACACAAAAATCAAAGAGGGAATATATTCCAGATATCATGCAACAGTAAATGTAAAAATATAACAGGTAGAACACTGGCAATTTGTCTGATAATTATGCATCACAGATGCATATATTGGCAAATTGACTTTAGCAAACCACACATAGCCTATTGCCACATTGGTAAATATTAGCTACTCTAAGGACATCAACAAAGGCATAAGTGGGAATGAGTGGCTGAGTTAGAGCAGTACAAAGACACATAATAAGCACAATTAATACTATTATTCCATGTGGAAAGCTATAGTTAGCTGGATAAGCTGCCTACATAAAATATCCTATAATTTGCATTCATAAGTATCAGGACAAAACCAGCAGTGGTTTCTAAAATAAAAACATAATGAAGTGCTAAAAGTTGTGTCAGATGTGATAACAGAGACTGTTAATTTCATGGAGTCCCACACAAGGTAGCCATAATTAGTTCCAGTGGTAACTTTAGTGGCAGAGGTTTTCTCCCTTACAGGCTAATTTTTAAGAGTGAGTTCCCCATTCTTGCTTAGGTCTCCATCAATTGGAAAAGTACCAGAAAAATTACTTGAGGTCACTTGATACGAGACTCCATCATAACATTAACTCTGAAGAGTTGACATTACACGTGGCTGCACCTTGCGATGGTCACTCTATCCACCTAGTCACACTCTCAGGAAGCTGGTTTTTCGGGGTGGATTCCCCATGTTTACTTAGATTTTTGTCCAAATTACAATGTGATATTACAAATATAATATACAACAAGCCTTATCCCACTAGGTAGGGTCGGCTACATGAATCACACATCGTGCTCTGTCACAACCCAGTCCTTAGATTTATGCAAATGGAAATGTTTAAATACACAAAACATGGCTGCCCACCTTTGATTTATGCAATGATGGTTCTTCACGCTTACATTGTTGACAAGTCTGCAATAAGAGCAATTTGTCATGAAATATAATCAAGCAATATCATATAGGCACTGTTCGAACTGAACACTTATTCAAAACGCAGAAAAAAATATAGGTTAAGCATGGGAAAGAAAATTTTTTTAAAACATCTTGCCATATAAAAACCAAAATTCAAGGATGCCCATTAATTCTGGATAAAAATGATTTATTTGGTTTTTTTAAAAAAAAAAACTTGTTATTGAAACAAGATCAAACGTAAGAATGTCATTTCTTATTACTCTTTCCCTTCTTTCTGGTAAAGTATCTAAAAGGGGGGGAAAAAGAATGGAACTAAGGATTCTTGCACAATGCATTTTTGGGCCCAATGTACCATAACGAACCTAGTCCAGTAGAGTGACCTTGAGGCTAGAAGCCAAATAAGACAAAAAAAGAAAAGAAAAGAAAAATTATACAGCAAGTGTTCCTAAAGAAGTTAACGAGGCAATTTGAAGAATGACTTCAGACCTGATCAACGAAAATATAAACAGAGTAGGGATTGGGCTTTGTGCTGAGGAGGAATAAAGTAACTTTAATGAGTAGAAGCAAGATTGGATCATCCAAGTTTGTCAACACGGTAAGAAAGAGAAAGACAGGAAGCCAGAATCTCCGAGCAAACGTCCACAGATGGTGCTGATGTTCTTCCTCCTTTGAAAGGTCCAGTGAGTCTTCATAAGGGTCATCCACTAGAGCATCCTGAGCTACTTGTCAGAAAAAAGGGTACTGAAAGTCATTAAGGGTAAGCTTCAAACAAAAGATGGAAAAGAATGGAGATACTGATAGGATTGAGGGGGGGGGGGGGGAAAGAGTCAGTCATAACACCCAGATATTTATCTCACCATCCATAGCATAAGCTATAACTGACCCATATGCAATTGACACACCTAAAATGATTCCGCTGCTGAACTTACTTCCTGAAATGTTTACCAAAAAGCCCAAGTGACACAGAAAAAAAGGATAATGATTAGCAAAAGTTTAATGCATATTTAAATTTCAAGAAGAATGAGTCTCGTTGCGGTATTACTTCAAACAAAAGAATGTCGATTTCCAAGCATAGTCGGAACTATGGTACATAGATAATAAGTAAAGAAGGTTAATTATGAATGCATCATATTCGCACGCGTTAGCTTAAAGCAGAGACTGCTTTGTAGCATGGATAACTACTGACGACTGAAAGCATATTTAAAAAGGCTAATAAAGCAACAGCATCTCCAACTGATGGATAGAAGCTATCTGGGCCATGATACGATGATCAAACTAAAAAAAAATAGTAATCTTCCCACAGTCTTCTTGCGTTTAGGTGCCGCCCCCTCCCTTCAAAATTCATATGTAAGCGACTGGTCAAATTGTGTTCTAGCAATTATCGTCAATGGAATAGCTCTTAAAAGTTAAAACTTCTCTATGCTACATTGTCAATCCACTATTGTCTCCTCGTCTTCCATCTTAATTAGAGCTTTTTAGTTCTCGTAGTTTGTCTAAAGGCAAAGAGGAAAAAAATGGACACAAATCATTTAAAGTCGACACTCAATTTACATTGGGATATATATATTTAAAATAGTATCCTAGACTGAATGTTACGAGTTGAAGTTTGACCCTCTAAATTCTCGTCAGAAGACTTTGAAAGCTTCAAAATCGAAATATATACCCACAAACAACCGAGTTCATAAAGCAATTGATGGTGGAAGCAAGAAAAACAAGGGGAAATTTTATATGAAAAAAAGAAACAAAACAAAATCAAGCAAAAATAACAAAACACGAGTACTCACCACAAAAATAGATATTTCTTAGATACTTTCTAGTTGTATTTACATCGGATTTGAGCAAGGAGGCACGTCCGCAAACTGAGGGTTCTATGCTCTTCAGAAATGATTTTACGAAATCGAATTTGCCATAATCTGAAGCAATGGAAGCCCAAAAGTAAAACAACAATAGAGAAACCATTAGAACAAGACGGAACATAATTAGTGAAATATAAGCCAAGAAGAAGAACCTACTGAACCGCTTCAGGTGAGAAAATGATGAGCTGTGAGACGAGATTAAAGTAAAAGAGTGCTTGATTGGATGAACGAACTTGGTGGAGTAGGCCATGCCTTTGCACAATACTGTCATCGCCCGTCAGTAGCCAGTCCCCAGCTCCAATAGTTCGCTCATATTACCGTTCCACGCAGCGCAGCGGGCCCTGCTTCCGACTCACGAGTCGTTTTGTTGCTCACATCCCAAAACGCGGTTGTTTTTTTAGGACAAACTCGTGCGATTGTTTTCCAGTGTGCTCGTCCTCGACTGCCCAGTGGTATATGTCGTTTAATGATTTGATCAGCGTCAACACATTACGGGTATAAGTTCACCAACAAAAAAATTACGGATATAAATTAATGATAACAATTTTTCAGATTAGCATTAGCATTAGCATTTATCATCTGCAGGCAAAAAAATCGAGATATGTAAGTTTTCGTAACACATTTCTATTACGTTGGAAAGGGAAAGCGGAGGAGAGGAGGGGAGAAAAAATAATAACAGATGGATGGGAGTATTTTAAATTACTTTCTCTTATATTTTAATGTAAAATATATATTATATAGTTATGAATTTTTAATATATATTTATTAATTATCAACTGTGATGATTATGTAATTATTTGCAAAATGTATAAATATATTTCTAAATATTTATAGATAAACTAATTATTTGATATCGTGATCAACATATAAACTCTCTACCTACATCATACTCATAAAACTATGTTTCCAGAAATGCTTTTATTGGACTGCCCAGTTAAGTTTCTAATCGAAGTCAATGCTCACTTAAACATGAGGTTTTAACTAGAAACAGTGCATGAACACATTGCCCGTGCAAATTTCCAATTGAACCTTTAAGAATATTCTTGGATTCCGTTTCAAAACACAGATGTTGCGATTCTAGTTTCTAGATACTCAATAATGGCCACTATAAATCTTACCATTTTCACATTTCCACTTGAGCATTGTATAAATGAATTTCACAATAGAAATTTGAAGATGTTCAAGTTCTGATTGGAAAAGGATTGTCCATAGCGATACCATAGTTGATGATAAACCAGGAAGCCATGTCAAAGCAACCCATGATCTTTCTGTACAGACAACATCCGCTTTGAGAGTTCAAATAAGAACTCATTACTACCACCATGACACCGAACACAGATGTCAAGAAATTCAACAGCATTTCGTTGAGCCACAGTGAACAGCTGATAATGCAGATTCAAATGAATAAAGGAACAGGAAATATAGTAAAAATTCAATAATGGTCTTACAAATTCACAAAAATTGATCATTCCCAGTCTATTATTCTGCAACATAAACAGAGAGGCTTGCCGCAGGAGTTCGGGTTGAACTTCCGCCAGGCAAGCGGCCTCAACAATTAATAACATGAGCCCAAACTGACTCCCAATTTGCTAGTTCTTTTGCTTGCAGACCAACGGGCATGAAACTGAATTTCAAACCGGAGGCTAAGTAAGAAAATATAGAAATGCGAATAATTGAACCCTCACAAGGCATTGTTCTTCTACAAACCAGCTGTATTCCGGTCGGTTTCTGGATTGAAGTTCGAGCAATCATTGCGAGCGAAAGATCACCGTCTGCACAGTGCTAAAAGTACGGGAATGGAAAGGAGGCAAAGGCTAGAGCTTCTCGTTTGTTAATTCCAGTATATATACACATATACACACCTTGCTAGAGTACTGTAAATTTAAGTATAACAGCTGTTAATTAATTTCTGTATAATATAAGTTGAATTTTATTACTGGAATACAGCTGTTAATTTGCTGTAAAAAATGTAACAGCTGTTAAAGTAATAGTCTATTTGGTTATATTTTCACTCGTAAAAAAAGTAGTCTATTTGCTTCAAGCCTTCAACAGAACGAATTTTAGTGGAAGGCAGACAGTGAGAGGGGAGAACAAAATAATAACAGATGGACAAAAATATTTTTATTTGATTTTAAATTATTTTCTCTTATTTTTCAATGTTTAATATATATTACATTATATAATTTAGTAACGTATCAACGTTTAAATATGATGATTATGTAATTATTTGTAATATATATCTAAATATTTATAGATAAATGGTTGGCAAAAAATATTTATAGATAAATTATGCGATCAATGAAAATCTTAAGATTTTTCACTTAAATACGATTTTTTTAATTAATCTGCTAATGAATCAATATTGAATTATTTATTACATGCCCAAAAATTCGAAGTTTAAAATTGGCGGCAAAGACCTGAACCGTTGTTCCTTATAAAAATTATAGCCGTTACTGTAAATTTAACAGCTGTTGATTGACGATGATGGATGAATAACAGCTGTTGACGCCCAAAAAAAAAAAAAAAAGCCTCTGTCACTTGTTTTTGCCAACACATATCTAAACATTAACAGCTGTTACTGCCAACATATTAACAGCTGTCTTGTAAAAATTATAGCCGTTGCTCCCTTTACTCGCAAGGAACCGACCCGATAACTATTTTGCAATTGTCTTGCGCTTATATAGTTCTAGATTCCTGATGGTCTTTCTTCCTCATGTATTGTGAAAAAATCTGGCATGTTCCACCCGAGTTTTCTGATGGCATCTTGCTTCGGAGCAGGGACAGTTCTTTCATAGAAACTGAATGAGGAGTTTCATTCTACCGAGGTTGACCATGTTGAAAAGTTTCTTGGAGCTGTTTAAAAAATGTTACTCTGATCCTTACCCTTCTCTTGTGAATTTGGGTGGTATGCTTGGAGTGGTTAATGCTATAGGATCCGGTGGTGGGATTATCAGATGAAGGTATTTTGATAATATTGATAGCACCTCTCTTATCGGATGGTGAACTTTTTTCTGGTTCACATTTTTAAAACCCTCACCTGCTACTTTATGCAAACCAGGAGCCTCCTTCCCCGGGCCTTCTGCTTAAAGGTTCCGTCTATGAAGCATATTTGACATCATTGTCGCAAGAGATGTTTCTTCTGGCACAAAATTAACTTTTGGATGTTGATGGTCATCGGAAAGCATCAGAGACTAATTTAAAATCTTTTGCTCAAAGTTTTTCCGAGAACAATGTGGTTTTGCGACTTAGCTTGTTGCTTACAGATTTAAAAAATGGGGGAGGTGCTTCCGTATGGCTTTTCAGTGAATTATTTTCAAATTCTTTCAGTAATTGTATCTTTTCAGTTGCCTTGTGTCATCTACGTGTTATGCACCATTATGAAGGTCATTAAAATTTTATATTTTGGTACCTCCTCTAGACGTGCATATATCTATGAAGGGATTTAAACTTTGGTCTCCAACTAAGACTTTTCTATGTCTTTGCTGCTTGTAATCCCCTTACATGAATAAAATGATTTATGTCAAAATCTTTTGTGGCTTCCTAGAAAAATCTTATATGATTTAATCTTTTGTGGCTCAATAACGCACTCCTACGAGACATAATTGCATTTGAATATTTTGAAGGGTTTTCTAAATGTATTGGAATATGCCATGCTCTTGCATGCATGAGTTGTGACCTGTTGTTTCGATGCGTGTGGCTTATTGGATGAATCAAAATGATTTATCCTTATGTGTATGTGTCAGTATTTTTACATATATCTGTAATGCACTCCTACGAGGCTCAATTGCTTTTGTACTTTTTGATGCCTCCTCTAGATGTGCATAAATATATATAGGGGCCTACTTTTTGCATATTGGTGTAGATTTTTCATGTCTGCACTACTTTTAGTACCCTAACATAGATGCATAAATTGTCACTGTTTTTTAAAAGTCCCTTGCATGTAACTGCTATGATCTATCATAAATTATAGGTTAGGCCTAATGGAGTATGCTTAATGATTATTTCTGAGATGAGATGTGCACATATCTATAAAGGGGTACCGCTGTATGGTTAAATTTTGAGATAAATCATTTTCTCATCGACTTTTCTAGATGTATTGGAATATGTCATGCTCTTGCATGCATGAGTTGTGACCTGTTGTTTCGATGCGTGTGGCTTGTTGGATGAATCAAAATGATTTATCTTTATGTGTATGTGTCGATATTTTTACATATATTTGTAATGCACTCCTACGAGGCTCAATTGCTTTTGTACTTTTTGATGCCTCCTCTAGATGTGCATAAATATATATAGGGGCCTACTTTTTGCATATTGGTATAGATTTTTCATGTCTGCACTACTTTTAGTACCCCTAACATGGATGCATAAATTGTCACTGTTTTTTAAAAGTCCCTTGCATGTAACTGCTATGATCTATCATAAATTATAGGTCAGGCCTAATGGAGTATGCTTAATGATTATTTCTGAAATGAGATGTGCACATATCTATAAAGGGGCACCGCTGTATGGTTAAATTTTGAGATAAATCATTTTCTCATCGGCTTTTCTAGATGTATTGGAATATGCCATGCTCTTGCATGCATGAGTTGTGACCTGTTGTTTCGATGCGTGTGGCTTGTTGGATGAATCAAAATGATTTATCCTTATGTATATGTGTCGGTATTTGTACATCTACCTATAATACACTCTACGAGGCTCAATTGTTTTTGTACTTTTTGATGCCTCCTCTAGATGTGCATAAATATATATATAGGGGCCTACTTTTTGCATATTTGTGTAGATTTTTCATGTCTGCACTACTTTTAGTACCTCTAACATGGAGGCATAAATTGTCACTATTTTTCAAAAGTCCCTTGCATGTAACTGCTATGATCTATCATAAATGATAGGTCAGGCCTAATGAAGTATGCTTAATGATTATTTCTGAGATGAGATGTGCACATATCTATAAAGGGGTACAGCTGCATGGATAAATTTTGAGATAAATCATTTTCTCATCGGCTAAAAACTTGTGGGGTTATCTCTCCTTCATGCCTATGCATCATTTTTATTGGGGTACCACAGACGCAAATGCAGAAGCAAATGGGCTAGTTTGTTGCTATTAGTGAAGACAGTTAAATTACATATCCCCTTTTCCCCCATGGATAGAAATTTGATGCAGTGTCACGTTTCAGTATAAAAGCTTTTTGAGCCACAGCATACTACTACTTCTTGATGAAGTTAATTTGGTGAATGATCCATGAGGAGTTTCTCTCGAAGCAATTGTTAGCA